CCTGCAGTTATCTACCCTTTCAAAGAGTTGATTCTCCTCCCCTCTGTAGGCTCCCTTTAAGTATTGAAATGCTGCAATGAGGTCACCCTGCAGCCTTCTTTTCTCCAGGCTGAACAAGCCCAGCTCCCTCAGCCTGTCTTCATAGTGGAGGTGCTCCACTCCCCTGATCATCTCTGTGGCTCGCCTCTGGACCCTCTCCAACAGCTCCCTGTCTTTTTTGCACTGAGGGCTCCACACTTGACGCAGTACTCCAGATGGGGCCTCACAAAAGCAGAGCAGGGGGGAACAGTCACCTCCCTGCCCCTGCTGGCCCCCCCTCTTCTGATGGAGCCCAGGATACCATTTGCTTTCAGAGCTGTAAAAGCACACTGCTGGCTCACGTTAAGTTTTTCATCCACTGGGACCTCCAGGTCCTTCTCTGCAGGGCTGCTCTCAAGGACTGCTCCTTCCAGTCTGTATGGATGCCTGTATGGAATTCCTCAGGCTCAAGTGCAAAACTCTGCACTTAGCCGTGTTGAACCTCATCAGGTTCACCCGGGCCCACCTTTCTAGCCTCTCGAGGTTCTTCTGAATGCCAATTCCTGTAGCTGCCACTATAGGAAATACTTACAAAGTACAGGAAATACTTATGGAAGCAGCAAGCTTAAAGGAACCAACTATCTTAACAGTTAGAAAAGAACTTGCACACAAAAAGTCATACTGTCCAAAGGTGAAGCCTCCTGAATTACGTGAAATACATTGATCTAGAAATAGGTATTTGGGTGCACTGTTGGCCTGATATAATATCCTGGCAGGATATTACTTCAACAGAAGGAAAATATTTGTAGTGTTTTCCACCCAACCCTCATGCACAATCTACTGATGTACCATAGTGAACACTGGTAAGTGTTCTACTGGCAAACAGATGTGTGTTGCACAAAGCACCTTGGACGGAATTTTATTAATGCACAGGAATATATTTGTTGAGAAGAACAAATTCTTTTCCAGATGACAATTTGTGCTGAATATTTCATATCCATTCACCAGTTCAGCAAGTTCAACGTATGTACATACCCAAAATGTACAGATGTTCACAGTAATTTGCCTAATGAACATCATATGCATTTAATCAGTTTTGAAGCTCAATCATATTTTAGTAGTTCCACAAATATCTTTGGAACCAATCTAATTAAACACCTCAATTAAATTGGACAGCAAGTTTTCCTCAGAAATGTTTGCAGGCTAGTTGCTGTAAAAACAGCTACGGGCTCCAAAGCCATCCAGCACGAGCACCAGAGCTAGAGACCTTTTAAAGCCTCTTCCAAATCAAACAATTTTATGATTCTACATACACACAAAAATACATGCTCACCTCATAGTGTACATATGTAACTGCAGATGCCCTGCTTCTCTACATGAGTACTCATGCAAGACACCTTTTGTATGTCAGCAGTACTTTATGCTGGGTTTTCATATGCAATGTACATCTTATTTTCATGCACAAGCTCAGCAATGCATGTATGAACATCAGATTGCAGGCACACATGCACACGTACGTGTTGTGAAATACTCTGGCAAGCTTTAGGAAAATGTTCTGTCAGACATTATTTTGACAGATGTAGATGCGACTCCTCTTCCAACTTACAGGAACCAGTCCAGACATCACCTTTCCATATGCACAGCCAAAACTGGAGTGTTAAAAATCCAGCATTGACATAACATTCATTATTTTAATTGTTATCGCTTGACCCTTTAGTCCATGCTTGTTCAAGATAGCTTCTTTATTATTAATATCTCAGCACATCGTGCAACACAACTTCAGTGTGCCCTAATTTAATTTTAATTAGTGCTGACTTCTTCCCTCGCTAATGAAACAGTGCTCATTATGAAGTGTAATTGAAGACCCCTAGGGGGAGGGGCATCTGGAGACTTCATTGTGTTGGTACCCAGCATCCTGCCCAATAAAACTCCCTCCTGAACGAAAGCAGTTTCATCGTTAATTCATTCTGCAGGGGGGCTAACTAGCTGCCAGCTGCTGAGTTCATACTGCTCTTAGGAAGAGCCCAGAGCCTGTTTGTTTTCTCCAAAGAAACAATTCCAATTTTCCAGTGACTAAAATACTTACATCGTAAACCCTTCGCTCTTGTTGTTAAAAGTATCTTTGAACATGGGCTGTTATGAAAGTGTGCCTCTTCATTAGATGCTGACTATTCATGAACTTTTCCTGTGTGATTTTAATTGAGCTTGAGTGATATAAATATTGAGTTGTGGTTCACTCTTTTAAAGAAAATAAATAAAAGAAGGAAACATGCTCAGTTTACTAGAAGACTGAGATGACTCAGGCAATTGCAGCAAGAAACAAACTCATAAGAAAAAACTACAGGTACGTGGTCAAACGACTATCCCTGGAGACACACATGGAGTGCCAACAGACATGGAGAGATGTCTGTATGCTCAAAGCATCCCCAGAGCCTCAGTTTCTTTGCTCGATAGGTGTGTAATCATTGTAACTGCACTGAAAAATTCTTCAGATGACTGCATGTATTTTGTTTCTGTCAGACTCGGGACTTCTTGTAATTTTGGCTTTGAATGTTTTCCTTCACACAGTTACTGGATGCAACACAACTGCCATTGAGTTCTCCCTGAATAATGACAGAGTATCTACGGGGATTATCCGGGGACAGTTACTGCATATTAAAATCACCTCCTGACTTGATCCAAGCTAAGTCCGGAGTATTTCAAGTCTCTGTAACAACAGGACAGAGCAAAATGAGGCCTCCAACCTTACCTAACCATAATGGCAGTTATTCTGGCACAAGAAGTGTCCAGAATCTGTGCTGTAGGTACCACATCTACCAAACACAGACCTGTTCAGGAAGTGGATACAGATTCACATATACAACTCATTTGATTTTGCACTAAAAGTTTAATTTCGTCAGCATGGAATTAGGCCTGTAACCAGGTTTTAGCTGCTGTGTGCTGGCATCTAGCGATAGTCCAAAAAAGTTTATATGAAAAAAGCATCTCCTGCCAACAGGACTGCTAAAAAATACTCATCCTTTTTGCCAGGATCATAAGTGGCTGTTTGTGATTTTCCCCCAAACCAGAGGAAATATATATCTTATTTAGAGCAGTGGAGACTCAAAGATCCTTTTCCTCCATGGCTATAAACAACACCACAGATTATATTCTAATAAGTAACAAGAGATTGAGACAATAGAATGACACACAGTAACTCTCAGAATTTTGGGCCCTTAAATCTCCTATAGCTAATGGCAAAATTACCATTTTGTTTCTGATCCTACAATGCTTCTTTGTGCTAAGGTTTCCCAGTCAAGTTTGGTGCGTGCACGCTGATCTGCAGCACCTTCTGCTATCCCATTCCAGGGCAACATTTGCCAAAGGTAACACGTTTCCAAGTTTTTGTTGTCCCGGTTGAAAGAACAAGGATTGTCCAGGCTTGAGACACAGCTCAGCAAGGGCAGACTGTACAGTGCACTCAAAACATGGAAGAAATTGATACATTTACACAAATCTAGTCAATTTCCCCAAGCCTCACATCAGTGACTCTTCATTAACTTCTCTCAGATAGCCCTGTGTAAAGAAGCCGCTGAAGAAAAGATCTGTGGACTATGGTACGTTTAGATGACTCCACTTCTGGCTTAGTTCTGAAGCCAAACTAAAACTTCATTACATCTCATAACAGAAAAGCCTATATTCTTGGGACCATTATAAGCTTGGGCTTTGTTGGGAAGAAAGTTGGGGGAGACCCAGGGAAGGGATTTTGTCTACTGACTAACAGCACCCATCACCAGCAAAATATCATCTGTAAAATTCAGTTCCTTTAATAAAAAAAGAGTCTGACAGACACTGCTGCTGCACTCCTGCTATTAATCTTATCCCAATGCTGTTACATTAGGGGACGTACACTATCTTTTCTCTACTCATTATGGAAACTGTGCAATTCACATCCTCCCAGGAGTGTTCCAATTAGCCAAGCTTGCATCTCTCTCAGCTTTCCATCAACTCGCTGCATTACGCTGGGCTGGAAAAACTAACCTCTTACCACAGGCATGAGCAGAAAGCCTTCAGTAGCATATCGCTGCTGACTCTTCAGATACATTCTCTCTGAAGTTGTAGGTTTTGGTCTCATCAGCAATTCCAGAACCTTGGAAAGTGAATCCAACCATGAAGTATTTTAAAGTAGCTAAGAGACAACAGAACCACACCTCTGAACTGAGTGAGAAAGGCAAAGGATACACAAACCAGATAACTTTTACCCACTGAGCCTGGTTTTGTACTGTCCAGCATTAAATGCACAATGAAACAATTGAGAGATATATTTTACAGTCAGCTCAGCTCTGAGGCTTTGCTAACTTGCATTTCAAAGTACTCCCACTGCAGCCCCAGTCTGTGAGCTCTGTAAACTCACAAGCAAGTGAATTCTAAGATGCGATTAGAATTATTTTACTTTGCTTTGCTTTATCCAGTTTAAAAGCACATGATTTCTGCACTGTTTCCATAGTTAACCTCATTTTGAATGGTAAGCACAAAACTATTCTGGCTCTCTTAGAAGAGATCACACAAGAACGAATTCTGTCCACAGGAAGTAAAGCCCACTTCAGCAGAGGATGGGTGCACTGGCTGGCAGTGCATCTTAAACTCTCATCACACCTCTCCTTCCACACACAGCTGACAAATGACATTGCTAATTCCCTGGTGCAGGTCCTGCCACAGCCAGTCTGATCTGTTAGCAACTCCAGTTACAGTTGCTCCTTAACTCAGTGATGCTTGAGCTAGCACAGAGAAGGCAGCGGCATGTTGCTGCCATGTGTGTCTGAGCTACAATTAGAACAGGGCACATGTTCAAACATAACCAAAAGCTTCTGGCTGTGCCTACTTATTGCCAACAGTTCAAGGCTTTGGTGGGGACAGGAGAAGGAAGTACTGATAGTGTAAATCTACCAATCAGGAAACTGCGTAAGACTCAAGTTGGAGTGTTAGAAAACCAGGTTTTTTTTTTGTTAATAATAATTTAAAAAAAAAACAACAACAAACAAGTTGTATCAGTACAGTATTTAAGATTCCATCCTTTGGAAGCCTGGTTCAGCTGTTCTAGAAGTATGAAGGAACAGCTACACGTGCAGAGTGATGCAGAGTCGCTGGTGACAGGGCCTGCAGCTCCTCAGGCACTGCGCTCCCAGTCCCTTCCATGGCACACTGACTGGAGCACATGCTGCACACCCACACTCATTATGACGCAGCTGGGGAAGCAGAAAGGGTGTTCCACAGGGTACTGCACAAACTGAACAGCCCACAGACTGAACGTATGCTGCTGGGTACTCCAGAAAGATAGGAAGGTAGCGAGGGGGTGTAATATTTTAAATATATATATATGTGTTTTTAATAGCTCCTCTGCAACACATACAGGAAGAACTTTTAAAGCAAATTCTAACCCTGAGACCACCTTCTACAATCTCAGCAGTGCAGCCTTCTCAGATGGCTTGTGATAGAGCCCAGGTATGAGATCTCTATGAGGAACAGACATAAACAGCATGTTGTATGCTGTTAGTTTTTCCTGGTTTGAAATGCAAGCTATGCACGTGTGCATTAGCAAGATGGCACATCCACTGCAAGGGGAGTGAACCACTCTGGAGGTGACACTGGGCAGAGGTTACACATGCACAGAGCAGCCAGCTGATGTGTGAATCCATTACTGTTATCAGCAACGCACTCAAATGACCTACTTTTTAACACTATCACAATGGCCCATCAGAAGAATTCAGTAAATTACTGGAATGCAATTCTCTGCCTCTAGTGGCAGCATAATAACCCATGCAGATACATAGCAGGTTAATCCTTCTCATGTCTAGCTATATTTTTTCCATGCAAAACTATCAAAGAAAGGTAGAAGAAGCCAAGAAGGATCTGTTTAACGTCTGAGTGCTAAGTCCTTAAGGTCACTGTGTAAATGGTGCTAAAATGGTGCTAAAATGGCAAGTACCAGTTTCTCATCCAAGCTAAGGGTGCACCTAAGTAGCACAGACTCACTGCTGTTCCCACTCTTCACTGTGTATTGTCTCTTTACATTTCTATTAAGGAATTTGCTGCATAAACAGCAACTGTCACGTTCTCAAGTTTGAACAACCCTACTGAAAAACCTACTTCAGAACTCCACTTTCACAAGCAGACGCTATTGTTTGTCCCTATATTCCTTAAACATTTCCACATGGTCCTGAAAGAATGCTTTGCACCTGCAAAGGTGTATAAATGCAGCCAGGTATTTTTAAGCATATAATTAGAAAGATTAACACAGTGGAAGGGTGATACAGGAACATAACAGCAAAGGGACCAGCACAGATAGGATGGTATTTCAAAGGAAAAGATGCTCACCCATCTTTGAAAATCTCAGTTCACAGGAAAGACTCCACAAAGGAGAGATCTCCAATCACAGATCCTTCCCCAGAGGCACTCAGCCCTTAAATGCTGTCTAAGAGAGGTGCAGCCAGGCTGCGCCCCTTCCTGCCCCACCGCTGAATTGCCTTCACCTGTGCTCCCAGGGCTGAGCGGGTCCTTTCTCCAGGTGCTCAATCAGTGCTTCAGGCTGTGACTCAGCAGTTCCCACACATGCCTATAATATAACACCCAAGTCCAGTTAAAAAAAAATTAAATTAAATTAAATTAAATTAAATCATAGCTTTTAGTTATCTCAAAAGAAGAACAACTGTACTGACTATAAAAAGATTATAATGAAACAATGGTCCTGTTACAAGTTTGTTGCAAATGCATTAAGAATATGCTGAAAAGGCATCTATAAAGCAATACATCTTTGGTACTGGCCAGAGACAAGCTTAAGTAATTAAATAACTCAGCTGGTTTCTACAGGGCCAAATTTTTAAGCCAGGTCTTATGGAGATCAGGTTCTGTACACATCTCTTACAGATGAGCCAGAGCTGCAGACAATCCCGATGATCCTCCTGCTACATCTGTAGGAACCTATCTCCTGTGTCTGTTCTAAGCCTATCAGAAGACACACTTGGGCAGCAGACAGCCCCAGAAGGGTTACTCCAAGATGTTGGTATACTCCTGGGCCACCAGGGAACTGAGTGCTTGGCACAGACGCAGCTCCTCTGAGCCCACATCAAAGAAGAGCATGAAAATGCAGAGAAGGAGCTGGCTCAAAATCTACTTATCCTAGAGAGTACTGTGCTGGCAAACATCTCTCCTCTGTTCCCAGCATTTTAAGGAATGAGGTGCTTCTGGAAATCAAAATCTAGTGTGTCCACTAGTCATTTGGAGCCAGGGAAAAGATACAGACTGTAGGATGACTGCAAGGCAGCAATTTATCTACCCCTCTACAACTCTGAATGCATGCTTACTCTGAGTAGGACAGATTGCAGCAAAATACAGCTGAAAAACTATTGACTAAACAACACTAGTATATTAAAAAAATATATTTTTTTCTTCACAGAAGAAAAAAAAAAAAGCCTGAAGCCAGTTATTTCATTCACAGGATACAGAAAAGCCCTGTCCTCAAAGGCTGTAGGCACATAAGTGTATCTGTGTTCCACTTGACATCAATTGGCATGTTTAATGTCATGAGGCATGCATAAAAAGCAAGCTGAGCTAATAGAAGCAGGAAAAACTAAACATTTGGGTCTAAAATAATAAATATAAATATTCAGACACAACAGAGATCCTCAAATATGTCTGTGCACACATGCCACATAAGCATATCTCTTCTTGAATTAATAAAAATCCTCTCCATTTGCCATTTTCTTGCTCTTAGTGTTTAAAATTTGCTTAGCAAATGGCCATTCAAGGCAAGAGCAACCACCTACATTGTGATGCATTACTATTTAAAGGTGTTAAAACGTAGCACAAGCAAGATGGGTTCAGCTCACATAGGAACAGAGTGCAGACACGCAAAACTAGTGAGGAAAAGAAAAAGGCTTTTCAGTACTGCAGAAACCTGCACTTCATGCAAGAGAACAGTCATGTGGGAAACCTTGTTGCACCATGCAATTAGGCACAGAATATGCCATGTGCTAGCAGTACAATCAGCACCAATTTAGTTTAATCGAGCGCGGGTCCTCGTGGCTACAACTGCAGCAGAAAAGCAAACTGGCTGAAATCAGACTACAGAAGTCCCCAAACTTAGAAACAGCCCTTCAGAAAGTCCTTGCCTGTGGGTGTTCAGAGCTGGCAGCCCCTGCTGCCACCAGGCAAAGCCCAAACGGGCAGCTCCTGGCACTGGCTCCTGTCTGCCAGAAGCTCCTGCTTTTGAAGTATGCCACACTATATATCTTGCACATAAAGGGTCTGCTTTGCAGGCTTCTTCCTACCTGCTCCTCCAGACAGATGTTCAGGGCTGTCTGTGAACAACAGTTCAGGGGAGTCTATCTTCACTATGCTGATCAGATCTGAATTAGCAGTCTAAGGTTGCAAGGCCAATTAGAAATGAATTTTTATTTCCAATGGGTTTCTCCAAATTAAATCACAAGCCAAAAAAGTAGCTCAGTCCTTCAAAAGCTGCAATTTGCTAAGGCCCTGAGGGCATTTTGGCAAGTTCTTCACAGTTCGATTCAAATATTATCTCCTTCTCTCTGCTGCCAAATTTCAAGATAAACCTCTCTTCCACAGATCACTTGGTGTCAGTATGTGCCTTCCTGGTAGTGAGACTGCAGTGTGCATCTTGGCTGCCCAGTTCTTGCTTTTAGGGCCACTGGAACAGTCACAGGTAGGAAGAGGACAGAATTCTCATGATCGAGCTGCAGAAATCTCTGCCCAGAGATCAGTGTTAGCATGACAAATCTTGCAGAGCACTGCCATTCACCATGTAGTTCCTTCTTGTCCTCATCACTCATTAACACAGTCATCCCAACTGATGATGATGATAATAATAATAATAATAATAATAATAATTTTAAAAATCGATACATAAATCTAATGTTCTTTAAAATCAATTTAGTTTTGGCCACAAGCACTATGGTATCTTTATCACAGTAACAAATCTGCGTCTCTGCAACGGCAAGTTAGATTTTTAAAAATTATTTTTCATTCCTTATTTTATTTGAATACTTTCAAAGTTTTATCTGAATTCCCTGGGCATACAATGTCCACTTCTGGAATGATAATATAACATAATCTGCAATGTTTTGCCCTTCAGCCACTGATATGGATTCTCCCTTTAGTACAAACACTTCCTTTGACTGATTCAGAATGCAGATCCAAACTTTGCATCTGAGGACACCCTTGCTATTTGAAATACCAAGAATAGAAGACATTCTGAGCAGAACTGCACTTAGAAAGAAGCTATCCATCTTTGGCAAATTTTAGAAAAGACACTAGGAATGTGACACTGAGGTCTACAGTATCAAAATTCAAGGCATGATGAGGAGTGTGAGGACAAGACTGGACAAGACGGTCTCTTCTAACCCATATTATCTTCTGTTTATGAGAGTATTTTGTATTTATGTCACTGTATCTATATCTACCATTCAACAGAGCAGAAAACAACTGAATGATTCAAGTTGCTGTGAATCCCTCCACTGCGAAAGTTCTAGATAGTCTGGATCAGGCCCTCCTCCTGTCTGTAATGTGCTGACTGTTAGTTAAGTGACTACACTTTGAACAGGCAGATCAAATACTGTGTTAACACAGGTTAAGAAAATGAAAAAATAATCTCCATATTTTGTTGAACAGTTTTTTCTCCAAGAAAATATGAAAGTTACATGTAGTGGACAAGTCCAAAGAGATTGAATTTAATCTGCTTTTGAAGTTGTTTGTGGATGGCAAGAATAAACGTGAAAAGAATTCCTGGACAGATCTCCTTCTATTTTGCAAGCTAAAGGAATTTGCTGAAACAAGATCACCAGTTACTTTGCTTATAGTATTTTGCACTGGATTCCAATACATTCATTTCTGTCAAATAGCTACCAACTCTGTTTCATACTAAAAATGGGCCTCAGCCAGTACACCAGATCCAAACATCCCTTTACCCAATGGTACTCAAAACTAGAGGCTTCATTTTGCAACACGGAAAGTATGATGAATCAAACAAACCCAAGTCAATGACCTCTATATTCTGAGTGTGTGCAACTGAGATCTTGGTTAGAATTCTATGACAAAGAATCCTGAAAAATAAATCATGAATTTCCTGTGGACAAATGGGCAAGATTAGAAAGATATTTGATAGGAACTTTGAAAAGCATTTTTCACGTTTATTTTTGAGCAAACATTTCTTGAAAGTTTGAAAAACTTAAAATCTTTCTTTCCAAAGTACCCATTAATTATAGGCTGGTTTCCTAAGAAAACAAGTCCTATGCAATTCTGCTCTCTTACATGTTTGTGCAAGTTTCTTCATTAATAATCATGAGATTTATTAATACCTACATACTACAGATTGTGTATCAGCTGAACTCATTTGCCAATGTCAACTAAACTGGACAAATGCCAAATCTGGTTTTAGCAAAAACTATTTTGCAAAATCTTTTTGCAGAAATCCCTGTCCCTGAAGGTGTTTAAGGCCAGGTTGCACGAGGCCCTGGGCAGACTAATATAGTAATTGGTCTTGTGGCTGGCAACCCTGCCTGTGGAGGGCTGGAACCTGATGATCCTTGAGGTCCCTGCCAACCTAAGCCATTCTATGATTCTATATGTAACCACAGCTGCTGGCCCGGTACCTATTCCAGTAAGGGACATGAGAGTGCAGACCAAGCACAAGGCCAGTTCAGAAAAAAATCCATCATCCTGCTTGTTGCCATCCCTCCAGTTTATATCAAAAACTTCCAAGTTTCAACTGTCCATATAGCTCTAGCATACCCAGAGACCCTGTCCTCATTTGTTTGATGCTTGTCACTGTGTCCCCATATCACCCACCTTTCTCAGCCTCAAATCTGCCTTCCAGCAAGTGACTGAAGTCTTCGGCTGTAACACAGATGGAAAACAGAGACACAGCTTTGGGACCTAAAAACACAGAGTCTCAGTTCCAGTTTCACTATGCCTCACTCACAGCTCCATGCCACATGCCACATGCCACATGCCACATGCCACATGCCACATGCTCAAAATCATCAAGGTTGGAAAAGACATCCAAGATCATCCAGTTCAACCATCCGCCTCCCACCAATATTCCCCACTAAACCACGTCCCTCAGTACAACATCTAAATGTTTCTTGAACACCTCCAGGGATGGTGACTTCACCAGCTCCCTGGGCAGCCCATTCCAGCACCTGATCTCTCTTTCAAAAAAAAAAATAAAAAAAATTCCTAACATCTAAGCTGAGTTGAAGCCATTCCCTCTAGTCCTATCGCTAGTTACCAAGGAGAAGAGGCTGACCCTCACCTGACCACAACCTCCTTTCAGGCAGTTGTAGAGAGCTGTAAGGTCTCCCCTGAGCCTTTTTTTTCTCATAATGATGTAACACTGCCCTTAAGACTTCCCATCAGGAACCTGGGCATCGTACATCCTGGTTGGAGTAAGTGATATGAGCTTGAGCTCACAAACCTCTGCAGATGCTTTTGAGACTCCTGGAATAAAAGGGCTCAGTAAATGCTCCAGGAGCCCTGCTGCACATCAAGATGCTGCCACCTAATGGCAAGAAAGGAGGAGCAGCAGTTGGGTAAGACAGACTACCATTTACAAGACTCATAAAGGTCTGGGTTTTCTTGGAAGACTTAGAGAAGAACTGAACTTAAGCTTAACTCTGTGGGAAATTCCATTAGCTCTCTGGCCACTGCTCTCTTTCTAGTGGGTATATGGATCCCTGAATACCACCCTTTCCATGCCACTATTTACTAATCACACAGTAAGCCATTGTTATTGCCTCCAACCCAGTCCTTTCCATGCATCCTAGTTGGTAAACCTTCCCTTGCTGTGTCACGTACACATTAAATATCCATCCCTGTGATCCACAGGATTGATCTCCCCATCCCACATTACAGTCAAGATTAACTTCTCCCACTATGTCACATATTCAGTATACCTCTTTACCTCCTTCACTCAGACAAAATGAATCTCCCTAGTATTGTCAATAATAATTTTCTTTATATCCTGAGTAACAATATGAGGCAACCTGACAGAGCACTCAAGCAATAACTCAATCTTAGCTTCCCACCATTCATTGAAGTGCATATAACTTCATCAGAGCTGCTGCTGAATTATACCCTCATATCCTTGTGAGAATTGTATATTATTCCCTTGGGAATAGCAGCAATACAGCTAAAGATGAAATAATTTGTTTTTAAAACCCCAGGATTGTATCTGATAGCGCATCATTTCTTCATCTCATTACTCATTTTGCATTAGTAATTAGCAGAGGTTATTTCCTCCATTCTCCTCTTCCCTTTTGTTTCATTTAATGTCTGATAACATTAGTCCATGGGAGATAAGATGCTGTTAAGATTTTAATACAGCTGAAATGATTGGGATCTTCGCTAGAGGCAGACAAACTCTAGGAAATTCAAATTCAATTTGGCAAACAAGAAAAATCGCTTCTCACCACTCTGTCCTGTACTTTGGCATCCATCCCTTCCCCCAGAGAACAGGCCTGCTCTGGGCCCTGCACAGCTGCATGGCACAGGGTCAGGTGTTTTCTGCACTGCCATCACAGTACCGTGTCATTCTCTCAAGCCTAATAATAAGCACAAGTAGTTTCTCATGAGAACTCAGAAGCTATTCTGTGGTGCTGCTGTGGAGGGGATAGGGAGAGTTTGATATACACCACAGAAACCACAGACAAAGCTGTACCGACACATGATCAAAATAAATTAAAAAGTATGCAACTGAAGGTTTCTGCCTGCCTTGTGCAGTCCCCTCCACTCTTCCTGGCCTTTGGAGAGCTCCCTTTCGGCCAGCACATATGATATAATTCCTTATTTCCTGTAGCAATGGGACTAGATTGCCTTTAGAAAGATGGCCACTGGTCACAAAGCAGCTAAGAACTGCCATGACATGCTGGCATTGGCCCCTGTCATGGAGTTGTCTCCCAGTCTGCACCACAGCAAAAAGGGCTAAGGAGCCCATCTATGGCTCTGGTGAGCCGTGAGCACAACAGCCAGGCTCTGTCTTCCCCTTCTTTTCCATGAACTGCTTTGTTCCTGGGGAGTTTGGGGACAGAGCCCAGATATTTCCCCTGCTTCCCCACATCAGTCTCCTGATACTGCACAAGTTGCCTGCTGTTAAATCTTATCCTGCTGAATACCATGTGTTTGATATTAATTACATGTCCAAGCCCCATGAAAGTCATTGAAATTTAATGAGATGCAGGGATGGAACCACTGAGCCAATGGCATTCATTAAGGGTTGCCATGGAGATGAGTTTGCCAGGCTTGACCCATATTAAGTGCCACTGGTCATTGCCCAAATAGAAAAAAAAAAAAACATGAAACCGGGGGGGGGGGGGGGGGGG